AAGTGTGGAAAGTTTAAAAACATGCAAAAACAAACAGACACACTTTGAGATAACTCATTTCGAAATGCACCATGTGAATGTTTGCTTCGTCAACAAAAGCACTGCTGGTTTTAGATAAATTAACAGTGTCTAGTCAAAATATCACTTCTAGTCTTACAAAATCATATGACTGCTTGTGCAATATGAGGGTGTGTAAGATGAGACAATGCTGATCTGATTGAAACCTGTACCATAGTGAATACAAGCTTTGGCAGACTCCTATTCATTGGCTGACAAACTGTACACAGATGTTAATAGAGCATGGCGAGATCAAGTGACCTGTGGGCGACTTCCAAGGGTACACCTGTCAACAGAATTTTAATTCCTTTTAACTAGGCTGCTGAACACAAAGTAGCCTATACTAGGAGAACAAAAAACTGTTGAGTTAACTGCCAATTACAAGCCTGATTCACAGTCAAACTCTGAAAGCATTCAATTAGTATTGCTTAAGATTACAGTCATGAAATTGTCAAACAAATAATTGTAAAAAATGATTACATTTTCACAATCAGTCTAAGCCTACAAAACACCTTAAGAAGTCATTTAGTCATGTTGAAATTGGATTCACACAATAAATTATAGGAGGAGGACTTTTAAGTAAACAAATGTTACAGGGGGTTGACTGAATAATACAATTTTAAATAGTAAAATATTTACAAAGACATGCAAAAATGCTAGTTTTATTCCATTTCTATATTTGCTGAATTTCCTTGTTAAACACGTATCATAATCTTGGTACTCATGGTACTATAATCATGATTATATTAAACAATTACAACAGCCCTAGTAGTAATGTATCAAATCTAACACTCATCAATAAAAACTAGCTCTATAATCTAAATAGTTTTATACCATGTCTTATTATGTTTGTATTTTTTCAAGTTCTGAATGTCCACTTGAATACTTGATACTGCTGTTAGATATAAACAACTATTTGTTTTAAACTTACTGTATTTTTCCTCTATTGCTGACTATTACCTGTTATGAATAATTTCAATGAATTTTTAAAGCACTGATTACTTAGGAAATATCATTTTACTCACTACACATCTTTAACATATTAATGCTAATATTTAACTTTTTAAATAAATATTGGTTTAGTATGCAAATAGCTATTGAAAACTGTGAAATCTCTATAGCTGAAACCGACTGTACAAAGAGAATACGTTGGTTTCTGTGTTTGGATAAACCGATCCAATTATTCAACAAAGGGTACAACATAATTTAGCATGCAGTCAGCAGTGTGGAATCAGGACCAGTGTCTCCCAGTCATGTTTACAGCAGGAGTCACCCTACAGACCCGAAACCAACCGAGGCATACAAGCTCAGTAAGAATCTGAGCTGAGTCACCATTAGTAACAACAACACAGTTCAACTGCTCTCTCAACTTTAAATCAGCCATAACAGAGCATAACACACCAACAGAGCAAAAGCGTTCAGTCCTGGTAATGTCGCTCCACCCAGGCTCATGCCTGCATGAGCGGTGCCATTGAGCTCTGAAATTATTTCATCCTATGAGTCAATGTGACGTGACGTGGCTTATTTAAACCTATTACAACTTCAACAGGCATTATTCTGACCCGTTTCAAAGGCTCTTACTGTATACGTATGGGCTAAGGGGCATTTTAAAACTGTATAATGGCCCAATTATAAAAAAAATAATAATAATGCTGGAATTTTATCTAGACTGCTCACAAACATGATATGAGAAAATGACATGAGACGGTCAACAAGATCCAAATCATACTGGAAGCTCATCAAATTTATCGCTGGAACAGTACGGGTTGGAATTCATAGACTGCACTATCTTGAAGTTCCTCTGCATAAGATTTAAAGATATCAGACAAAAATAAACACATTTAACACACAAGCATTAACCTGACTTTCGCATATTGCGACATAAAAAGACAGAAATAAAGAAAAGAAACAAAAAGAGTCTGAGAGGGATGAGTTGAGAGCTTTTCCACACAGGTCTTTAGAGCAGGTGTCTCTAATGTACAAGGAGACATTTAGACAGAGATATTTTTATCCAGAAGCAGAGCCAAAAATAGGTCAATGTCATCCAAAATAACCTGAGAGCACCAGGACTCTGCTCTCATATGAGCCCCTGCAGTTACTGATGTGCATTCAGGAGTGCCCACATCCTGCCTCTTTTTTATTCAATAGGGCTGAATGAAGAAAACGTGCTACTACTCCTGCAACAAAAGAAGTGCTGTCCCAAGCAGAGCTGAAAATATTCTTGATGAAAGAAAAACACCACAAGAACAACTAAACCTTCTCAAATTCTCCTTCAAGGGTCCTGTGGCAAATGGAGCCCTAAGAGAAGGAGGCATAACATTAGCTATGAACAGAAGGGTCTGGAAGATGTAAAAAATAAATAAATAAATACAGTAACTAGTAAACCTATCCCACACTAAGCAGCATGCAGTTCAGCCATATCAGTTCCTGTGTGACCAAACACATGAGCAACCATCATACTTGCTAGTCTCAGATAAAGAACTGACAGAGATATCAAAAGGGAAAAGAGAAATGGTTTCATTATGTACTGAATATGACAGAATGGAATTAGTGACCCACACCCAAGCCCAGCATCAGTGTAGGAAATGCAAAAGACCTGTCTTTCCAGGAACTGGAGGGGCTACTGCTACATTATGAATGGGATGAGGAAAGGTGCTCACTGGTGGTTTGAAATGTCTCACCAGGCAGATCTAACATCGACTGGATGCCAGGACAGCAGAAACGACCATCCTTCACTATCTTACAAAGCACACAATCTCAAAACAACGGGACGACACAAGTTAAAAACAAGTTTTTGGAGCCCACAGACAATTTCAATGGCCATGAGGCTAAAATGAAGAAATCTGATAGTTTTTAGCCACTAAAATTATGTTTCAGAACTAGGGGTATCCAACTCTGCTCCTTCTCCTTCAGTTCCAACACGCCTATCTGTGATTCAAGTAATCCCGAACACCTTGATTAACAGGTTCAGGTGTGTTTGCGTACAGCTGGAGCTAAATTCTGCAGGATGTTTGCCCTCCAGGAACAGGGTTAGCTATACCCCTGATCTCAACATACATTAAACTTTAAGATTTCTTTGGGGCAGGGTTAGCCAACCCTGCTCAAACACACCTGGTTCAGTTGAGTTTGATTAAACTCTACAGGATAGTAGCACTCTAGGAGCTGGGTTGGCTATCCCTGCTTTACAAAGTCACACTTCCAACAAATAACTTGGTGCTCAAAATGAAATAAAATTGAACACATGCTTTTAAACGGACTTTGCTTTGCTTACTCACTTAGTTCTTTTCTTCGCTTAGGGGTGTCCGATTCTGCTCCTGGAGGGCCACCATCTTTTACAGAGTATAGCTCTAGCTGTAATGAAACTCATATGAACATGCTAATGAAAGTTTTTAGGATTATTACGGGCAGGTGTGCTGGAGCTAAACTCTGCAGGATGTTGGCCATCCAGAAGCAGAATTGGACACCCCTGCTCAAGAGCAACTCTGTGCTAATGCAAGCTGAATCAACAGCATAAATGCTGCACCGGCCTAATTGGGTAATTGATGGTTTCATAAACAGGCCAGAATCCCTCTCACACTTGCCCCGAACCATCATGCCATTCTTACTTCCAAACCCTGACTACATGGCCTGATGACATTTTGCGGTTACTTCCACAAACATAACTGAATGACCTTCACTTCCGCTAGGCCTCGTCTGTCACGTTTTAACAGCCGAGGTGAAATAATCCCCCATGCCTTACCGATCCAAAGTAAAGGATATTAATGTCGCCAACCACGGCATTTGATTCCCTCTCATTTGCAAGAAACGTAACTTCGTGTAAATAATACAGGGATTGTAACCATAGGGAATGATGGGGCAGTCAGGTGCAGCTGAAGTGGATGAGCTATGCTTAAGGTACACCAACCCAAGTTCCTCCATATACACCTGTGCACTCAGACCTGCTCTGTATGTCTGAGACGTGAAGGGCAAACTGGAATGACAGAGCAGAACCCCACTAAGAGAATAGAAAGAAGCCAGCGGAAGAGATTCACCTCTTTGTCTGAGCACAGATCGTTTCGCTTCACAAATCTGAAATGTGTGTGTCTCTGTCTACAGCTTCAAAGCAAAGAGAGACGCATGTACATCAGACACTCTCTTATCACATTCCACCCACTAAAGAACTTTTTTAGGCTCTATTTGCTAACTCCGGCACAGAGCCAGCTCTCATATCTCTCCCTCCGCTGCTTTCCTCTCTATCTCATGGCCATCTCTCTCATCGTTCTCATCTACTCCTCCCAAGCATATGTCCTGGTTCCACAGCAGGGTGCAGCTTTGTGGCTGCATGCTGTTCTGGTGGGCTGTGCAAGGACCTTATCTGACTGAACAGTTTAATACTCTAATCAGAAGATCAGTTCAGGTATACAGGGAGAGTTCACCCAAAAATCAACCTCACCATGTAGAACTGACTTTCCCTCATAGAACAAAAAAGGAGATGTTAAGAAGAATGTTGATGCTGCTCTCTTCCATTTAATGAAAGTCAATGGTGGCCATGTCTGTCAAGCAAGGCCGCACATGGGGGCTGATTTGGGGACCAGCTGGGGATCTGTATTTTAGACCCATCTCAATGCTTGGGACGGCCCTGCTGTCAAGCTCCACAGTATTAAAAAAAAAAGCACAATACAAGTATCATAACAGTAGTCCATATGACATGCGCACTATATTCTTAGTCTTCCTAAATGTCATTGTTGCGTCCGTTAGCCAGTCACACTGCTTTGGAAAGAAATGTGGATTATTAGATGGAAAAAAGTGTTTTGGTTGAACCCAGATACAGACAGATATTCAGACAAACATCACATCCCAACAAGTCCTTTTGCTTTTGGTTTCCATGGCTCAAAAAGTAGTTGTGGAGAAAAATGTCATGGAAAAGCAATCATTTCAAAAAGAATACAATGAAAGTTTCTTACCTTGTACACCTGACCATATGTGCCATTGCCCACCAGCTCCACCAGCTCAAATATTCCTGCAGGGTCCTAAAGAGAGCAAAGTTTATGGTCAGCGAAAGTACCAACACACAGAGAAAAACAATAACACTCCGGTAGCATCATTTAAGTATTTGGGATGTTTTCAGTCTCTCCGATTTTCTTAAACTCATTTTACTTGCATATTGTGGTGTATCTACACTGAAAAAGAGGGAGGCACTTGATTTTATCCATCGGGAATTAATTGCAGATAGGGGGCCATGGGCTTCATATAAAAAGTGGTTGTAGAGGAGGAGTTAAAAATGAGGGCTGGATGACATCAGCCAGAAAGGAGAGTTGTTGATGTCCTTTTTTGTTTGTTTGAGTAATGTGCACCAACAAATCATTCACAAAAACAACAGGCACATCTATAGAGGAAAGAAACCGTGATTCCATGTTGGCTTTAATAAACAGCACAGTGTTTCCAGCAGCAAGCTAATTGCTTCTTAGCTCACAAAAACAGAAAAAACCCTGGTGTCCTCCTTCACACAACTGCTGCTGTGTACAATCTCTCATGACCAGCACCCAACCAAGTGTGAGATTTAAATCCAACACTCCATCTAACACCTAAACAAAGAAACTCTAAATAAAAGAGTCGAGGCAGGGAGAAAGGACAGGCCATTTCATGTGCCATTTAATCTGGCTTCACCCAAACACCAACTGGTTGAGTTTGTGACCTTAAACATCAAAAGCCTGCTCACAATCCCCACTCTCTGTCCAACAGAAAGCTGTTGCGATAAAATGGCGATAAGGAGTGATATCTTTGAAAGATCAGTGAAAGATGACATTGCTCAAAGGACAAAACCAGCATTGTGCATATGTGTATGGATGTTTTCTGTTGTTTGCACTCCACTGAGAACCTGACAGACAGTGAGATTCCAAACTCAGACAAGAATCAACCATTACATTAACATACATGAGTGGAAGTCCACACAAATGTGACTGATTTCCATGATTGCACATGCACTGCTCTTAATAGTTAGGCTGCAAAGGGTAAATCCAACACTCACAGTTACAGCTAATCCTAAATTATAGGTATTTTTCAATTGCCCAATAGTGTCCCGCTAAATTGACTTCACAGGATATTATTCAGCCATCATATTTTCAGAATGAACATCAAAAAAAGTACTATACCAAGTTACGTCATACTAAACTGTTTTTTGGTTACATAACAGCTCAGAAGACAAATAAATGGGGGAAAAAGTTATTTGCTAAATTTATAATCTTAAATATTGCAACAATTTGGGAATTCAAGTATGATGGTCAATAATAATGAAAAAATATAATATATTATATACTTGCAGGGCTCTCCAAATGAACACATTTTGTTAAGTGACTTTCTACAGATATCCCCTGGAAGCTCTGTACAATGCATAGAAACCTTGTGAATTGTAAAGTATCTTATATTTCACACAATGTATCACCTAAAGAGCCAAGGACAAATACATGGTTTGGCTCTCTAGGGATGAGTAATATCTTGTCCTTATGCTGACTGGCAAAAAACAAAAATGCAAGCTGCAGTGTTGTTCACACAAGCTGCCAACCATAGACAGTTCACACAACACTACTTGTGAACCTAAAAGTTGAATTGATTGGAAACGTGGCTTGTCTGTTAGCCAAAGCTGTAAGGCTGCTGGGAAACCAGTGTCATGACACATCAGTACGAGATGTGAGGAAAATAGGGCTCAGATATTACACAATGCACAGAGAACTCAAATCTCCAACAATCAGCAGGTTACTAGTCTGTAGGGTGACCATACGTGCCATTTTCCCAGGACACGTCCTGGCCAGGATTTCTATATTGCCTAAAATATCTAGGTTTTGGCTTTGTTTGCGTGTGCAGACCGATTGGTGTATGACATCAAAATACCATACAGACGGTTCCTTATGCTTTCAAAATGCTCTCGAGGTACTTTGATGTCAAACACTGATCGATCTGAGCCGTGCTGCTTTTAAGTCGAACACACATCCTATGTACGCGTAATTGCATCGCTTTGACCGTAGATCCCACCTTCTCACACACACCATGATTGGTCCATTATGTACAATGCCTGCATGTTATTGGTCAAACTCCTTTTCGATCATTCCCTTCAGCAAGCATGAAAACAGGAAAAAACTAAGCCAAAACAAATCCTGGCAAGGACGCGTCCTGGGAAAATGGCACGTATGGTCACCCTACTAGTCTGCATTTTCTATTTTGGCAACAAAGCCACATCAATAGACATGTACCTTCTAATTATTAGGAATGCTACAAAGAAAGCAATTCTACAGAACCACTAGTGTTGTCAAAAGTACCGATGTCGGTACTGAAATTAAAAAAAAATGTGACGATGCCAGCATTTCCCGCTAGTATTTTGAGCGCTGTTGTGTGGCTTCTCTAACACCTGTTGAAGAGCGTTTAAGAATCCGCTCAACAGTGCTCAAAATGCTGACATCACCACATTTTTAACATTTCAGTGTCTATAAATAATATTAGCTGTTCAAGCTTTTACCCTTGATTCTCTGATTGGCTTCTGGTTGTTCCAATAACATGAGAGCAAAACAATCGGGTTTATGGTCGTTCCCAAACTCAAGGCGAGAGCTTAGTTGAAATCGCTTCAACAACCTTCATTGTCAAATACTGAAAGATGTCTGTCTGTCCAATGGGTTCATTGGGCCATTTGTAGCAGAAGCTTTAAAGCAAATCTTAATCCCAAAATCGAACCTCATCAAAGGTGTGGGGGAAGTCAGCGGTGATCACATGACACTGACCGCTGAGGATGAGTAGAAGCAAGCAGGGGTGAGCGCTAACCCACTTCAAGCTCTCAAACCCCCACATTACTTTTTTTTTTTATCTAGATGACAAATCGCCATGACCCGACGAGCTTTAACCTTTAAAGTCGAAACTCAGCAATCCACTGTACACTAAATTCAAACGTTTTAAATGCTCATTAATATTTTTAAATGTTTAAAAGGTTACATTTTGGACATTTTAATGTACAGCATAAAAATTTATATTAATTTTGAGATTTGCTAAAGATTACATTTACAGTGTTATTTAAAAATTAAGTGAGCAAAGATAATCTAAATGTAAAACTGGACTTATGAACATTTACAATGTGCATTTATCACAATCCTATTCTTTAGCACTGTTTATAAAAAAAAAAAAAAGCTGTTATTTTGAACTTTATAATCAAAGAATCCTGAAAAAATTATCACCGTTTCCACAAAAATATTAAATGGCTGTTTTCGAAATGGATAATTATCAGAAATGTTTCTGGAGGATCAAATCAGCGTATCAAAATGATTTCTGAAGGACCATGTGACACCGAAGACTAGAATAATGGACGCTGAATTCAGTTTTTTCCCATCACAAAAATAAATAGCATTTTAAAACTATTTTTAAAAAACGTGAAATATTTCACAATAATACTGGATTTAATATATATTTGATCAAATAAAGGCAGCCTTGTTAAGCAGGAGTCTTCTTTCAAAAAATATGAATGGGGTATATTTTGTATACAAAAATGGATCCAGGCGATTGCTAAACACATTTCATGAATCTATTGTATTTTATCGTTTCATTCCACATCTGGTGTCTTGACTGTTTCCCTTATTCAGCCCTTCTTCTCTTCACAGAGGTCTCATGGCTGTTTTCCCCCTCTCCTTCAGCCCAGTCATCTCATGCTGGGTCTGTGCTTTGTCTGACAAGACTGGCAGGACGGCCCTTTTCTCCAGCTGCATCAGCAGACATGTCAGTCACTGTGTCTATGGAAATGTGTTTCACACTTTATTTCTCCTTCTCAGAGAGGAAGGATGCACATTCTCTCTGCATAACTTCCTGTCTTGGTCATCTGAAAATGAGGGTCAGCGTGCAAACTGTCAGTGAGAGCATGATGGACAGAGAGGAGTTAACAACCTTGCACATCACTCAGGTTTCTGTTGTTCAAGCAAACATGAGTAGAATACCTTGTTATGGTTCCCACTCTCAGGCTGTCCTGCCTGACAGAAAACTATCATGGCTGCACTAGGCTGAGTGGAAGGGAAAGACAGCCTGAGAGGTGTTTATTTATAGAGGCAGAGGCACAACAGAAGCTAACATACACAGTTGATGCAACTCCAGGAAAACCAGTAGCAACTGCTACAGTTAAATATTAGCCTAAGCAAATTTATACTTTTCCCCCTTCATAACTGCCGCTTCTGCAACTTTTAAAATGTGAACAGCTGCCACAACATTATTAAAGGGATAGTTGCCTCAAAAATTAAAGTCGCCATCATTTGCTCACTCCCATGTTGTTCCAAACCCTGTTAATAATTAAAAATCTATCCTAGTTCTTATAAGCAAATAGTGATGATCAAATCAATGAATCATTCTTTGGAATTCATAGTTGGACATTTTTAAAGAATTGTATGAATCAAACTAATTCAGTTCCTGAGTTGACTCACTGATTCAATGATTTGTTCACAGATTCACAAGTTTTCAATTAATAATTTAATTCTGCTTCTAAGACAAATCTATGGACCCTTTACACATTTCTGGGGTTCTCAGAAATGAAAGTAGTCACAGTTGGGTAAACTATATTTTAATTTTTTTCTCCAATAGCAAAAGGAAAAAAATCCACAATAGCGTTTATGTGAAGTTCTAAAAGAAGAAAAAAGAGAGAAATTGATTATCGTGGTCAGAAAAGAGAAAAATATCAAATCTGCTGTCACTGTATTAAAAACACTCACACCGCAGCATTAAATTGTTTTATATTACCTTTGCATTAAATAAAAAATAAGTAGAGTGTTACAACACTGCTAGATTTATGTTAATAACTGTGGAAACGTTTCACAGTCTATGAAAATGGTCCATTGTATGGCTTCTTAAGATTTGGAATATATTTTTGGTGGATATTTTTTTCAGCTTGAAAGCACCAGTTCCCACTGCATGGAAAAGAGTGGCCAACACAGTCTTCTTCAGAATATCTAATTTTCCATTCCACAAATGTTTGGAACAACATGAGGGTGAGTAAATTATTAATTGTTGTGTG